TGTTGTATGTTGTTTTCAACCCAGATCTGCTCAATAAGGCCATTTAAAGCTTCACGCATCTTCTTAGCTCTAGCTCGCGTGACTGGACCTCCTTGGGTGTGTAATGGATCACATGACGTAGTAGATATGTTGTCATGTTGATTCCCATCACTTACCTTTCTTTCTTTTCCCATTAACAATATTCCCTTTCTCTACTTGTCTGGAATCAGTTACTAATTCAACTTCCACAATTTGTGGATGCTCATCAGCACCTTGGTTCTGCAACAAGCATACCATAAACATCAACCAACATACAAGTTTAATGATAATTAATTTATTTCTTATATACTTTAAGTAAATAAATCTTAAGTGCAGATACGTACTCTTAAGTTGTCAAATTGTATCTCTGCCATCAATGTAATAGTAAGACAATCAGGAAGAAAAACTGCAATTGAAAGATCAAAACTAATAGTCAGCATAATCCATATAAATGTAAAATTGAAACACACATGACAAATAATATAAGACTACCAGTATCAGGCACCAGCAGCCACTAATAGAGACAAAGTCATAGAAGTTGAAGGAAGAGAGTAAGAGCTTAGATCAAAACCGAAAGGTAAGAATTCGATTTTTGGTTTCACGACTAGAGAAGGATCAAGGAAAATACTAGGCGGTAACACCGGTGCTGCTATGGTGGAGAGAAAAAGACGGGGAAAAGAAGAGAGTTTCAGAAATAGATCTAGAAAAGAAAAGCAAGTATGGTAATATGATGTCAAAATCATATTATACTTATGAAAAAAATAATGGTTGAATGGAAAAAAAATCATGGTGGAATACTGGCATGGCCGAGAATGGAGAGGGAAAATGGGACTAGTGATTAGACTGATTTTATAGGGGTAAAGGATCTGCGGATCTAGGGTAGCGGGAAGCTTAAAAATTGAGTTGAGGGGGGAGGTGCGCAGCAGAGAAGGGCTAGAAGGCCGTGCAGAAAGGGTAGGCAGCATTAGGGTTTGCCGGTTTGGAATGGCTAAGAAGTGAGGATGGAGAGGGAAAAGAAAATGTCAAAATAGG